CATCTTATATATATATATATATCCCTCTCCTTTTTTCTCTCCCTCCCGCTCTTTCCTAGAGCTAAATTGTTTTCGGTTGACAATTTTTTTTTTTGCTTGTTGGCTCAGCAATTAAAGTGAGCTAAATGGGTTTTTAGGAGTTTGATGCGAAATAAATATACCCAATCTAGTAATTCTACCAAACGAGCTGAGTAAGGAGGGAGAGAGAATTCGAGAAAGTAGATTAATGTAGTTATAATTAAACTAGCTCCATCCTGATAAAGTCTAAGAGGAGATTTTCAAACCGGAACCTTTATGTTAAATATAACATAAAATAAGGAAAAATGGATTTATATAAGGTTAGCTTAATTCGTTTAATGTTTATAAAATAGAATTTGTGTCATGTTCATATTTCTAAACCAAGAAAATTGTATTAGGAAGTCACGATTCAGCGTGGAAACTAAGTATAACACATGATAAAGGCCGAAATTCAATAGATAAAAAAAAATATACTTTCCATCGTGATATTTTATGTAACTAGAAAGTATTTTTTCTCTTAATCTTACTCAGGTTTTCTTATCACAGTTTATATAATAAGGAATTAAATAAGGTTTTCTGTTTAGTCGTAAAATGTTTCTAAGTGCTTTAACATAAGGCAGGTTGTTAAAAATAAGTAGGTCAGCATTTTTATTTTTTCTTTATTTCTTAATTCAAGGCGTCTACGTCGCTCAGGGCGAAGTTAAATAATATAAAACTTAATTTCAGTTTGTATAATATAAAATATGGCTTAAAAAAACTTAAGAATGTTATTAGATAAAACGTATTCCAGAGGGACAAACCGACCTTGAACATCTAGATGAGGTAGGAGGAGGGAGGAAAACTTTAAGAATATTATTATTATTTTTTATATATAAATTCTTTCTGTTATGCCTTTCATTAATAATAGTAATAAATTTTTAAACACGAAAAACAACCATTTTTATAAGCGAAAATTAAACTTCTGGCGAATAAATTTTTATGAGATTTGCTACAAAAGTGAATAAATGAATAGGTTAATATTTCACCTCTAAACGAATACATGAATAAATTAATATTCTGAATCGATAGGGAAAAAACGTCTGTAGGGATATACAGAATGATATTGTTTCAATCTTTATTCAACACAGCTCTAGGCACAGACTTTGTAAGCTTTTGTAACAGGATAACGAATCAAAAACTACTGTTAAACACGTGATAGTTGCGACACCCACTTTGATAGAAATGTAGAATAAAATAAATTAATAATTTCACGTTTTGTCAATAATAAAGCGAAACAAATTCATCACTCTTCTGTTAAGTAATATGCAAAGAAAATTAAATATAAGCTGAAAATATAATGACGAGATATACGATACAATGTCATTTTGAATAATTATAGTGTGAATATATTTGTGACAGAAATCACAAGGTATGACAGTTATTAACATTGCAAAAGAGAATAATCATTCATCTTGAGACGAATTAGAAAGATTACATAGTTCTATAGCCTATCTGATGCTTTTTAATTTTCTGCTGAACTAATCAAGATTCCAAAACTTCAAGGTTAATTACTGTCTTAGGTATTTTTAAGCGAATTTTTATCGAGCGGTTTTTCTTAAATTTAACCTTTAGAAAATTTCGAAAAATCTCTTATGTAAATTGTAAAATTTATTGTAAAAATGTAACAAAGATCTGTAAGGTGGAGTTAAGTAAGTTTTAAAATGGATTCTGTTACATTTTATTAATGAATGTGGACATAAATCAGTTATATTACTCCTTGCAATGAATAAGAATTGTTACATTTGTGCAGCAGCAATTACAAATTCCTTTTTTTAGCTTGTTTGTAATTGCGTGTCGTAGATTAACTTCATATTTTTCCACATTTAACGAACATATACTTCTAATTTTCTACGCTATTTATTTCGTTTTTTTCTCTCCATCTTCTTCAGCAACATTCTTTATAATTTTCTTAGATGATTAGAAGAATGGAGTAACAAAAAGTCATTTTCTTTACTCAAGATAGCGTGACATTTTCGTTGGAAAATATTTTTGTGTAAAATTATTATTTTTATCAACATCTACCGATACAAATTTGTTGATTGACATTCGAAGTCTTCGTATATCTTGCAAGAAAAATGTTTTATCAAGCTTTCATTGTTAAACTCCCTCAAGGCAATCAATCTTCTTAATCGTTACGTAAATAGTTATATTGTTTAAAATTTTATGAGTTGACTGAAATTTAATTTAAATTTTTTAACGTATAAAACTCTTATAAAATAAAAAAAGAAGAAAAAAAAAATATGATATAAAATCTAGTAAATTCGATTCTTGAAAGTTTATTTTTCGAGTTTTAAGGCTAATTATTATATTTTAAGCAGATTTTCACGTACATTTTTATAAATTGTAAACGTATTTTATAAATTCGTCCGTTTGCTAACGGCAGAGGCAAGCCATTACTAATTTGAGATGGAGAGCATATATTTTAAATTAAATGAATTAAAAATTGCAGCCCGGCATTGTAACGACGTTACAATAAAATAAGTGCCCATACTATTCTCGAATTCTTGTTGTTTCGAGTTTTCTATTGTTATTGGGGAAAGGAAATCCTTTGTCTGTAAGACAATTCCTATTGTAAATTAAAATAAGTTAATAAATAAATTCGAATTAGTTGTAAGAAAGAAGTTTTAAGTTGCCGTTCTTTATTTTTCTGATGTTTTTAAGCTTTTCTCTTCCGAAATTCGTTCGAGTGTAAACATTTAAACAATCAGTAAACAGCAGTTTGTATGTAGATCAATAAACATATAAGAGAAATGATATCTTTCTACTATAAATCTAGTAAATCCGTAGAAAGTATTTCGATCATAAAATTGGATGTTAGCTAACTTTCGTCGAAACTTTCTCGACCACATTCTAAGATTTGAGTAGACGTAATTCAGAAAGTAGAGATGTGCAACAATCTGAAACATCAGAAGTTATTGATCAAATAACGAAAAAAATAAAATAAAATAAAATAACTAGAAATGGAATCTAGTGGAAAATCGGAGTTTTTAAGGATTACATAATATAGGTCCTGACAAATTTCTGTTATTGATAACCATTTTAACAATAGAGAAAAATATATATTTCTTCTCCCTTTATATAAAAATATTATAAGATAAGAAACACAATAGTTTTATCATTTTGTCTATTTTTACTGAAGCACGTATGAAATTTACTATTGAAACACTCGAATTTATATACGAACTTCATCTGCACTTAAAGAACTAGTCCAGGGGATGAAACACGACACAAAATTAATGATCTTGCAGTCAATTTATTCAGATATATTTTCTAGAAAATTATATATTTTTTATTTATATAAGAATTTACATTTCATTACTTTTTGCTTGTTTATTTCTTTTCTAATTTACAATATTTTTTATTCATCTCCTAAATAGTTTCNGTTTAATAATAATAAAAAAAATATCCAATACTTTCAGCTGCATGCTGCAGCAAGCACTTTTTCTAAACGCAGCTCCTATCATCAATCATAAATTCATTATCTTTGACCGTATTCCTTATAAATAGAAGGAACGATGTGATAATATACTTTATATCACAGGTGAATGAGCTGATTAAATATGGAAGAATAAATAAATATTTCATGATCGGGCGAAGTTACATCTAAAATATAGCATATCTCACATGAAAGAGAGCTCGTCTCTTTCCGGTATATAAATATATATATATATATATAATTTTTTAAATTTAAAATTCTATAAGTATATAACTTTAAACATAATAATTAATAATTTTACAACAATTATAAACTATACGCTTGGAGAAATTAATAATCATCCTCTAAAGTCGCAAGATAACAGTAGAGAGAGGGGAGAGAGAGGAGATGAATCGTGAGTTGACTCCACATTATCATCGAACCAACTCCATCTCGTATTCATTCTCTACATTTTATTAATAACGGTCCAGTTGTTAATTAATTATTGATTCAGTAATAAGTCCGGAGATTATTTTGTGTGCAATGGTTTATCCAATATTAATACTGAGAACTCCAAATGAAAATAAACTGATCTTGCTCTTCACAAAGATGTTTCCATTACACTCCTTACGCTTTAATTCAATTTAAATAACTTGCAACAGAGTTTAATAAGAGTAAAATCTGTAAAATTTACCTTCCACTAAAATTAAAATTATGTAAAATTAATTAAGAAACTTGTACAATATTTATCAGTTGCGAAATAAAAGACTAATTTATTTACGTGTTATCCTCTTTCTTAAGCTTAGGTAATTCGAAAATTATGCAGTATATACGCGGGAATTTATGAGTATATGTTTATTTATATTTATGGGCACTTTATAAGCTCATAAATCAAAGAATTTTTTCTACAAGAGTTATAAAAGTTATGCTAGTGGAATAATAAATATACAATCGATAATTCTATCAATTTTTAAAAATTATTTACTGGTAAATACACTCGAATTTATGGTATAATTATTAATAATTATAATTATAACAGCCATTTCCGATCATTAAACTCAACAATAAAAATATCCCACGCGCCTATTGTTTGGCATAAGGCACGATTCTCTAGTGTGACGTGACAGGGGCTCACGAAAAATATTCACATCGATAGTTTCGTGATTTTCTATCGAACTAGACGAAAAAAATGAGTTCAAAAACCTATTATGTACTTAATCCGATTTTATACCAGGCAAAACCTTGGCTTAATCCACGTCAGCCATTTATAATTGTTCGGTTCAGTTAAGTAATACCCTGATTTACATACCTTGCTCATGTGGCACGTAGTTTCATAATCCAGGATAGAATTTGCATAATGGAAGATACAACTATGTTACATAGAAAAATTTAAGTTTTAGGTATAGATTAATTGGAACTTCGCGTGTGTCACTAATTATTTTTGTCACACCCCAAAGTGATTATCTCTATCTTTAAGAAGAAGAAGAAGAAAAAGAAAATTAATTGCAGCTTTCCAGTTGTAAGTGCTTCTAATGGATAGCTTTATTTTGATAGAAAAATAGGTAAAGTATTGAGTAAATGGAAATTAGTTGCATAAAGAATTTTTTTAAGGAAACTAATTAAAAGTTACTTATAAATATTACTAGAAATATAAAAGGAAAGATGATAATGCCATTCTTAAGAAAGCAGTTAAAATTCTTGAAGGAAGAGTACATCAAACTGTGATTTAAAGCAGCAAATATGGTTGTATATACCTTTAAAATTACATTTTTTTTGTTATTCTTTTCTAAAAATTCTTATCTTTATACTTAAGAAAAGTAAACTTGCCCTATATAATACGTTAAAATTTAACTATCCGAATTAAAAAATAGTATTAACCCTTTACCTATTTAACGCTACTCTTAATAGCTATATATTATGAGACATAAATTAAGCAAATGTCTTTTTTAAAGTTAGAAAATCGATAATATACCCGGAATTTGTTATTTTATAAGCATGTAGCTCATAAAGCTGCAAACTCTGATAGAACAACTCATAAAACCGAATTTATTTAGTTCCATGGCAAATATTTCACTATAAAACATTTATTTATCTATTTTTTTTAAGCTACGACTCCGTTAATAATGTTCATGTATTAAAAAAATAATATTAAAATTTGCTAGAAAGATGAAGAAGTGGGAGAAAACCAATCAATAAAACGGAAGAAAGTCATAAACGGAAGGAAAAACTTTAAATTAATTAATAATCACAGTATCAATATTGAAAATTTACGTCTTTCCAAATAGGATTTTAAGTTTAGGTTTGTTTATTGTATAAAAATTATTTATATAGAATTTATTTCTAAGTTTAATGAAGGTGGTAGCGGTTTTTATAACATTCCATTCGACCCATGACTTCTGGAGTCATGTCTGGTAAAGCGGAAGTGATCAACTTTCTTCTGAATGTCAGGAAAAGTACAGACTATAAATCACTAAGCGTCTGACTTTGAACACTGTGATGACCAAAAAACATCGTTTAGAAACGTTATAAAATTTTGTTTTCCCAGATTTAAAGTTCACTTAGTGTTATTTTAACTTATATAAAATATAGTTATTGAACAAATGAAAGGGTCGGAATAAAAATTTATCCTANCTGTACTGTTTGTAGTTTAGTTATACACTTTTACAGTTTATGTTGTTATATACTTACACTGTACAGGTGTATGTTAAAAACTGTGTAGTATAACTATAATTATCTACAGTATATTAAAATTATATTGTACAGTTTTACTTTCTTTGGCTGTTATATATGAGAGTGAAAGTATGACGATCGGTCAAACAATGACTCCCAAGATTTTTACATTTTTGGACTCAGTAAACCTTGAAACTTCGAGAAATAAATAAAAAAAATCGGGGGTTTTTTCTGTATGTATGAATGTTAGTGTGTTGGGGAGGGCATGATTTTGTTCACCTACTTTGAAGCTTAATAACTTTTGTGCCTTTTATAGAAAATTTCTGAAATTTTGTAGGGAGGTTTGTATATTAGGGGGAATGATGCTATTAAATTTTGATGGTTAAAGGTCAAAGGGGTGGAGAGATAGAAGGTGGTCACGTGTCGTATCTCGAGTAGGGTCGGACTTAATAAAAATTTTACTCGTTATTAGCATTTACAATTATTTTTTTATTTATAAAACTCATCTCCATCCTCAAAACTATTTTTTTTTCNTTTTATAGATTATTATAATAAATTTCGACACAATAGTTATAATGTTTACAATGAATCATCTGTGATATCACTAAGTACGCTACTAACATTATTTAGGTATTTGACCTGTGTTAAATCGTGCAATAAAATCCTCATAAAATCTCTTTATATAGTACACTAACCAATCTTTAACTTGGTACGGTTACAGATTTACATACAGTCGTGCCGTATGTAAATTCGTATGTATCGATCTTAAAATTTGTCGAATTTCTTTATTGATAATAGCTCGATCTCTCTCTTTATTCTGGAGAAAGAAAGGAATAGTTCAATAAATATACGGTCAAGATGGTATGGCAATATTTCAAGACTGTCATATGGTTGCATGCAAGGTTTTCACGTCATCAACCCAGGAATCATGCAACGTGCTAGCTACACAATAAAGAAACTAAAGATGTACATCTGAATTGCTCTGTACATCAACTGGAGGAATTTTATGATGATGTTCCTCATCAATTGACCAAGATTACATCAAATACCTTAACAATGAGAGAGATTATCTTGAATGAACGCATTCTTCCCGTTTCAAATGGCAAAAATAAATTTGATCACTTTAATTATTGCATATCTACAATAAAACCTGTGTAAGCCGGATTTGCAAGATACCTAATATTTTTTCCGGTTTGGCAGGTTTCCTTTTTGAACAGGATTTTTTAACGTAGAAGATCTCTCCGTTCTGAAGAATTGTTTCCTTTTAGGCAGGTTTCCGTTTTAAACAGTGTTTTTTAGCATAGAAAATCGCTTCGTTTCGAGGAATTGTTTCTGTTTAGGCAGGTTCCGTTTTGGAGAAGTTTCACTAAGTTAAATAACTTCAATTAAAACTTAATTATTTAATAAAATAATTCTAATTTTAAGCGTTATTCTTGAAAAATATCAGTAATTTTATAATTTATTTAATGTTAAATATATAATTTGGTTTATAAATATTGATTAAATTTGCTTAAATATAATCGTCTCGTCACGGAATATAATTGTGTTTAATAAGAATATTCAGAGTTAAACAAATATTAGATTTCTGCTTTAGGAGAATTATTTTTATTATTTTTCTCATAAGATTAAATTTAGCATAATTAAATAAATTATTAATGAAATTTATTTAAGAATTAATTAATGCATTAAATAAAAAAATAAAGACATAAATTGGAAATTAATTAACGAGAAATTTAAATAAACTACATCTTTAAATTGTAAAGTTTGTAAGAAAGTTTTTAAAATTTAAATAAGAAATATATTTTTAAAATTATTTTCAAGTGAAAAATTAAGAAAATTCTGCACTTACACAAATTAGAAAAAAATGAAAATATTTTTATACAGTTTCATATAAAATTGTTTTAAAAAAATATTTTTTTTAGATGAAAAAGTTAAAAGATTCTACATCATAACTTACACATTTAGAAGAAGAAGAAGAAGAAAAAGAAAATTAATTGCAGCTTTCCAGTTGTAAGTGCTTCTAATGGATAGCTTTATTTTGATAGAAAAATAGGTAAAGTATTGAGTAAATGGAAATTAGTTGCATAAAGAATTTTTTTAAGGAAACTAATTAAAAGTTACTTATAAATATTACTAGAAATATAAAAGGAAAGATGATAATGCCATTCTTAAGAAAGCAGTTAAAATTCTTGAAGGAAGAGTACATCAAACTGTGATTTAAAGCAGCAAATATGGTTGTATATACCTTTAAAATTACATTTTTTTTGTTATTCTTTTCTAAAAATTCTTATCTTTATACTTAAGAAAAGTAAACTTGCCCTATATAATACGTTAAAATTTAACTATCCGAATTAAAAAATAGTATTAACCCTTTACCTATTTAACGCTACTCTTAATAGCTATATATTATGAGACATAAATTAAGCAAATGTCTTTTTTAAAGTTAGAAAATCGATAATATACCCGGAATTTGTTATTTTATAAGCATGTAGCTCATAAAGCTGCAAACTCTGATAGAACAACTCATAAAACCGAATTTATTTAGTTCCATGGCAAATATTTCACTATAAAACATTTATTTATCTATTTTTTTTAAGCTACGACTCCGTTAATAATGTTCATGTATTAAAAAAATAATATTAAAATTTGCTAGAAAGATGAAGAAGTGGGAGAAAACCAATCAATAAAACGGAAGAAAGTCATAAACGGAAGGAAAAACTTTAAATTAATTAATAATCACAGTATCAATATTGAAAATTTACGTCTTTCCAAATAGGATTTTAAGTTTAGGTTTGTTTATTGTATAAAAATTATTTATATAGAATTTATTTCTAAGTTTAATGAAGGTGGTAGCGGTTTTTATAACATTCCATTCGACCCATGACTTCTGGAGTCATGTCTGGTAAAGCGGAAGTGATCAACTTTCTTCTGAATGTCAGGAAAAGTACAGACTATAAATCACTAAGCGTCTGACTTTGAACACTGTGATGACCAAAAAACATCGTTTAGAAACGTTATAAAATTTTGTTTTCCCAGATTTAAAGTTCACTTAGTGTTATTTTAACTTATATAAAATATAGTTATTGAACAAATGAAAGGGTCGGAATAAAAATTTATCCTAGATTTTCCTCGCTTGAATAACTTAAAATTTTACATAAATTATAATATATAATCCTATTTTTATATACTTTATATTAATTTTTGTTTATAAATATTAATTGTATACGTGTTTGCAGCAACTAAACTGCTAATTTTTTGTAGATTAGTTGCTAAATTCTTCGATTTTTAATCATTATTTAAAAATTAAATTAATTTAAACTATATAACTAGGTAAAGAAGATAAGTATAAGATAATATATTATAATTTTTATAAGATTTTAAACATAAAATTTTACGAGCGAGGCAAATATAGGATGAATTTTTACTATAATCCTTTCATTTGTTCAATAACATATAGAACTTAAGAAAACTTTAATTCTAAAATAAATTATAATGTATAATCTTATATTTATCAGGATTATTTATTATAATTTATGTCTGAATTAAAGTTTCCTTGGAGTTAAAGAAATAACTCGATAGAAGTTTTATCTGTTATTGAACAAATCAAAGGATTATAGTAAAAATTCATTCTACATTTGCCTCGCTCGTAAAATTTTACGCTTAAAATCTTATAAAAATTATAATATATTATCTCATACTTATCTTCTTTACCGAGTTATATAGCTTAGATTATTTTTATTTTATAAAAATGATCAACATTCGAACAATTTAACAACTATTATCATGAAAATTAACAAAAGATTCCTTGCGTTATATATTTATTTTTATTAATTTCTAATATTAAATAAAACTTTCTAAAATCTATCCTCGAAAAATTCCGTATAAATATTAATATATTATTGTTATAATTGGTTAAAAATCGTAACTAATTATCTCATTTAAAAAAGCTGTTTACGGAAGAATTTAAGAAGTATTACAAAATTTATAAATGTTATTAAAATTATAAAAATTTATAAGTAGTCTACATCATTTTTATACAGGGGGAGAGAGAGAGAAAGAGAGAGTTGAATAATAATAAAAAAAATATCCAATACTTTCAGCTGCATGCTGCAGCAAGCACTTTTTCTAAACGCAGCTCCTATCATCAATCATAAATTCATTATCTTTGACCGTATTCCTTATAAATAGAAGGAACGATGTGATAATATACTTTATATCACAGGTGAATGAGCTGATTAAATATGGAAGAATAAATAAATATTTCATGATCGGGCGAAGTTACATCTAAAATATAGCATATCTCACATGAAAGAGAGCTCGTCTCTTTCCGGTATATAAATATATATATATATATATAATTTTTTAAATTTAAAATTCTATAAGTATATAACTTTAAACATAATAATTAATAATTTTACAACAATTATAAACTATACGCTTGGAGAAATTAATAATCATCCTCTAAAGTCGCAAGATAACAGTAGAGAGAGGGGAGAGAGAGGAGATGAATC